AGCATTTCTGGGAGTATCCAAGGAGGATGTGTGTTCATGAAATAATCCATCTCCAAGTAATCCAGGTAATTCCACCAAGTTACTATTAAGAATTGCTGTGCTGGCCAGGCTCCGGTCTCCTTGGGGAAACCACCCCTGCTTTCTAGGACACAAGTCCTTCCCAGGTACTCACCCCACTCCTTTGGTCACCAGACTTCTGGAAGGCACCCCCTTCAATATGCTGGAGGCTTTAAACTGGAAAAACTGCTCTGGGGTCATTTGCACAGGAGGAAGACTGGCTTTCTCCTTTTTGTGTACCCTCCACATAATCAGTCTTGATGCAGTACTTGAGGGCGCTCAATGTTTTATAGATTTTATAATGTACTTAGTCTTTTTGTCTTCCTAGTTCCCCACTCTGCTCTCCATGGACATCAGATATAAGTCCAGTAGGAACCAGGGAGGTAGGCGAATCACAATGTACTCACAATGATCCCTCCACTACAACTAAGTCCCAAATCAAACTACTACAGGTTCCTTTTGCCCTAAGGCAAACTTTTTTCCCCAAGTCCCTTTTCAGTCCCCTAGCAAGTAGGTTTCGGGCAAACCCATCACACAAGTTTGACAGATGTGCCCAGATATGACCAAATCCCACTTGGACTCAAGTTAAGACTCCCACTGTATGAACAAGGCAGTCTACGCCTGGGACAGTGTAAGTGTTTCTCCCTCAAGGAGATTCAAGAATTAAAAAAAAAAAAATTTTTTTTTTTTTTTTTAAATAATAAATAAATAAATAAAAGGGCCTGCGCTGAGCGCTAAGCTTGTTGCCTGACATGGCCAGGTACACCACGGTCCGTGGAGTTCGAGCCCCGTGCCCAGCTCTGGCTGATGGCGCTCGAGCCTGAGCCTGTTTCCCATTCTGCGTCTCCTTTCTCTTCTGCCTCCCCCTGCTCTGCTGCCTGTCTACTGTCAAAAAATAAATAAACGTTGAAAAAAAAAAATTAAAAAAAAAAAAAGAATTTAAAGAAGGTAGATAAGCTTAAATTAGGACAAAGACCTTGGAAGTCAGGGCAACAGGGAGACCCTGAAAGGCTTTTTTGAGTCCCCGAAACTTTTTAAGAAGTGTTAGAGACTGAATGTTTGTGTCCTCACCACCACCTCCCAAATTAGTATGTTGAAACCTAATCCCTACTGTCATGATATTTAAAAGTAGACTTTTCAGAAGTCCAGTGTGTGGGACTTTTCCATACCACCAGGCAATTAACTCAACTCCTGTGGACACTGACCAGATATCCCACAAATTTAACTCAATTCTGACACTATCTACCTGGAAATAACATCAGATTTCATAAGTTAAGGGCTCAGTCCCACAACACTGCTCCCATTTCAGATGCCAATTGCAAGTTCAGGTTGTCACATGTGCTTCTGACCATTGGCTATAAACTGGAGGTTCCCACAACCCCTTCCTTCAGTTTGATTAACTGCTAGAGTGGCTCACAGAACTCAGAAAACCAGTTTACTTACTAGATTTTGGTTTATTACAAAGGATACTAAAGGATATGAATAAACAGCCAGATAGAGATACATAGGGCAAGGTCCTGAATGCAAGAGCTTCTGTTCCCATGGAATTTTGGGCACAGTACAATGGGTTTATTCTGGTTCACCAATCTTGAAGCTCTCCAAACCCACCCTTCGGGGCTTTCACGGGGGCTTCATTATATAGGCGTGGTTGATTAGATCATTGGCCATTGGTGACTGCACTCAATCTCCAACCTCGCAAACCTCCCCAGAGATTGGGGGCTGGGGTGGGGCTGAAAGTTCCAACCTTCAAATCACACGGTTGCTTCCCCTGGCAACCAGCCCCCACCTTTAAGTTACCTAGGGACTTTCCAAAAGTCATTTCGTTAACATAAAAAAAGACACCTTTATCCTCTCATCACTTAAGGAATTCCAAGGGTTTTAGGATCTCTGTGCCCAGTATGATTCCTAGATTTCTAAATCAGGTCACTGGGTACTGATAGGCACATAATCACATAATGGTGTAGAGTGAGATAAAATGAGTTAAGTCCTGGATATGTTGAGGTTGAGAGGTCTGTGGGGGAATCCCAGTGATGTTTGTAGGCAGATGAATGCAAAGACTGAGCACTCAAGGGACTGGGTGCCTGGCTGGCTCAGTCAGTAGAGCATGTGACTCTTGATCTTGGCTTCGTGAGTTCAAGCTCTATGTTGGGCCTAGAGCTTACTTTAAAAATGAAAACTCTAGGGGCGCCTGGGTGGCGCAGTCGGTTAAGCGTCCGACTTCAGCCAGGTCACGATCTCGCGGTCCGTGAGTTCGAGCCCCGCGTCAGGCTCTGGGCTGATGGCTCGGAGCCTGGAGCCTGTTTCCGATTCTGTGTCTCCCTCTCTCTCTGCCCCTCCCCCGTTCATGCTCTGTCTCTCTCTGTCCCAAAAATAAATAAAAAAACGTTGAAAAAAAAAATTAAAAATGAAAACTCTAAAAAAAAGAAAAAGAAAAAGAATAGGCAGTTGGATGCATAAGGTTGGAGTTCAAGGGAGAAAGGTTTTTACACTGGAGATCTGCATCTGGGAATTATCAGAATGTAGCAATCTAGTATTTAAAGCCAGAAGACTGCATGAAATCCTCAGGGGAGTTATTTGTAGACAGGCTCAAAAACTGAGCTCTGGGGTACTCCAACATTAAGAGGGTTGGGGAAAAGAGAAGCAAATTAGCAAAGGAGTCTGAAAAGAAACAGTCAGTGAAATGGGAGGAAAACAAGAGGGTGTAGTGTGGTGCCCTGGAGGCCGTGTGAAGAAAGTGAGCAAGAAAGCAACTAATTGTTCAAATGCTGCAGATGGTCAAGTTAAGCTCAGGGTTAAGAATTCAGGGGTGTCTGGCTGTCTGAGTCTGTAGAGCATGCAACTCTCGATCTTGGGGTCATGAGTTCAAGCCCCACATTAAGTGTAGAGATTACTTTTTAAAAAAAAGAAAAAGGAGTAAGAGTTCAGAGTTAGATATAATGGATGTCATTGGAGATCTTGAAAAAAGCTGCTTCAGTAGAACAGCAGGAGCAAAAGCCTGATAATAGTGGGTTTAAGAGAGACTGGACGATGGGACTGCAAGCTGGTGCAGCCACTCTGGAACCTCAGTATGGAGGTTCCTCAAAAAACTAAAAATAGAACTACCCTACGACCCAGCAATTGCACTACTAGGCATTTATCCAAGGGATACAGGTGTGCTCTTTCAAAGGGACACATGCACCCCCATGTTTATAGCAGCACTATCAACAATAGCCAAAGCATGGAAAGAGCCCAAATGTCCATCGATGGATGAATGGATAAAGAAGATGTGGTATATATATACAATGGAGTATCACTCGGCAATCAAAAAGAATGAAATCTTGCCATTTGCAACCACGTGGATGGAACTGGAGGGTGTTATGCTAAGTGAAATTAGTCAGAGAAAGGCAAAAATCACATGACTTCACTCATATGAGGACTTTAAGACACAAAACAGATGAACATAAGGGAAGAGAAACAAAAATAACATAAAAACAAGGAGGGGGACAAAACAGAAGAGACTCATAAATATAGAGAGCAAACTGAGGGTTACGGGAGGGGTTGTGGGAGGGGGGATGGGCTAAATGGGTAAGGGGCACTAAGGAATCTACTCCTGAAATCATTGTTGCACTATATGCTAACTAATTTGGATGTAAGTTTTTAAAAAAATAATAGTAATAATTAAACTAAATTTAAAAAAAGAGAGATTGGAAGAAAAGAAATTAAACAGAAAGCTCTTGAATTCTGCTCTAACAGTGAAGAACAGCTCTGAGGTAGGAGATAGTAGCTAAAGAAAGCAGAGATCAAATGAGGGTTTCTGTGTGTGGTGAGAAGGAAAAATAACAGCATGTTTGTGTGCTTAGGGAAGCAAGTCAGTAAATAGGAGCAGGGGTTGAAGACGTAGGAGAGAGGATATAACTACTAGAATGGTGTCCTTGAGTAGGTGATCTGGAAAAAATGTAAAAAGGTTGTCCTCCCGTAAGTTCAGGGGCAGTTCAATTTATAGTGGTAACAGTACAGGAAGACAGAGTATATGGGTACAGATGAAGGCAGGTAGGGAGAGGTGGTAGTGAGGGAAATTCTCTTTCGATTGCAACAATCTTGTAAGTGAAAATGCAAGCTGAGAGTGAGGAGGAGGGAGGAGGTGTTACCGGTTAGAGAAGTTGTGAAATACTCATATCTTGGACCATAAGTGGACAAAGGAAGTACGATGTGTTTGTTGGGCAGCAATATGGACCCACTCAAGGTTTAGAAGCCTAATGGAGGTAGAGGAAGTCATCTGTATGATTGCGTATTTTATTCCAGCCCTGTTCAGCTGCAGACTTGGATTCAATCAAAGCTGTAGTTTTTACCAGAGCATAATGAAGAGGAAGAGAGCTAGGCAAAGGAGTAATTTAAACGGAACTTAAGCAGAGCAACAAGGAAACCTCAAGGAAATGAGGGACAGTGAAAAGGTGGAAGAACAATGGACACAGTAGGTGGGATGGAGGGATGGCATCGCTAGCGTTGGTGTCCTAGGAGCAAGCTGGAAAGTTAGGCGGGAGTGGTCAGCATTGGATCAATGAAACAGAGAATGACAGCGAAAGGTTGCAGTCACTGGTAATAGCAAGAATAACAGAATTGCTTAACAAATGTTGACTACTGAGGAAAAAAGAAAAACATTTTCCCCTGAAAATCAGCATTTTCCCCAGTTCTGGGCATCTATTGTGCCCTAGATATGGGCAAAGTCACAGTATCATCCAAACTTCCAGATGAGGAATGGAAGCAAAGGCAAATTCCCTTCACGTACGCAAGTGAGCAGTATTTAGGTAATCTCAGCAAGTTGTATCAATGTTTTATCGAACGCAATATCTATCATTACACAAGATTACACGAATACAGCCTCTTGAAAAGATTCCAATACAAAAGATTCCCTCTCCCCATTCCACATGTCAACCGAAGGCCAAAAGGGAGACCAGGAGACTTACGGACTGCCACCCCAACGCAGGGAAGGGTGACCGCGAACTCGGAAAACCCGGCAGAGGGCGCTCAGCTGCCCCGCCTCCCCGGACCTCGCCCCTCCCGGGAAGCTCAGCTCCACCGCCGCCCGCGCCCGGGTTTTCAAAATGGAAACAAACCCGGCCCCGCCCCCCTCCCGGAGGTCGCCGGGAAAAGGGCACCGCCCCCTGGGGGGGCATCCCAGCCGGCCAGGCGAATGTTCCCGCAAGCAGAATCGGCTCGCTCTTTCCCTTTCCCTTCTGACTTCCTCCCTGCCCACTTTCGTTCTCCAGCCAACTGACTGGAAGCCTTGCAACGAACCGTCTTACCCTCTCTTCTCCTCTGGCTTCCTCACCTGTCCGCAACTCCGCCCGCCCCACCCCCGGAAGTGACGATGGCCTCCCATCCTTGCTTGCGTCCCGTCGAGCCTTGCGGCGGCGGCGGGAAGATGGCGGCGGCGGGAGCCCTGGAACGGAGCTTCGTGGAGCTCAGCGGTGCTGAGCGCGAGAGGCCGAGACACTTTCGGGAATTCACAGTGTGCGGCATTGGTACGGAAGCAGCTAAGGAGGACGCGATCCGGTCCTTCCCCTCGGGCATCTCCTATGGGTCCCTAAATGTCTGACCCCTCGTTCATACTCTTAAGTCCACATGCCTATAGCCCCGGGATCAGAGCTTCCGTAGTGTCCTACTTCGCCCTCCTTTCTTCCCCTTCTCTTTGTATGGATTGTCAGTCGTCACCCTCTGCTTTCTCAGTGCCTTCAGTCCCTGTCATCCCTAAAGAGCTAGGTGTTCGGGCTGACCAATCTTCTTTTGCAGGGACTGCAAATGCCTTGGCTGGAGCCGTGAAATACAGTGAGAGCGCGGGAGGCTTCTCTTATCTGGAAAGTGGCAAGTTGTTCGCCGTCACCAGGAACAGGTTCATTCATTGGTAAGTGCTGTGTTCGCCAACCCCCCTGGCAGGTTGGGCTGTTGGACTTCTGACTGCTCGTGGCTGTTCCCAGAATGTCATTCTCCGAGGCGGTAATAGACAGGAAAAGAGGACTGTTTTCACATCTGAATCAGGGGAAAATTAGGGAGACGCAGAGTACTAGGAGAGGTGCCCTTCCAGGCAGCACTAAAAACAGAGGAAATGAAGCTTATGGGATAAAGCCCCAAAGTCCAGTCTTAAACTTGAACTCATTGTGTTTTTATAGTGTTCTACAGCTTCCTTAATTCTTCAAATACATTTGAGCTCTTTCACATCAGGCATCTGAGCACGTCTAGTATCTAAGTTTGCTAGAGATGGAGTGGTGAACAAAAGCAACACCATTTCCATCACGCAAGATGTTGTAGCTGTTTGAAGATGGGTGTGGACCTGCTTTTGATGGTGCAGTTTTATGAAGGAAAAGACACTAAAGTAAGGGACTGCGACATAGGTGTATAAATACAAATTTTTCATACTTGCCTCATAGGAAAAGTATAGGGGCTGTGAGAGGCTAATGAGAGGACCAAATGTTATTAGTGAGACAGAGAAGGCCTTCAAGGATATCACATTTAACCCGAGATCTGTAGGATGAAAAGTTGGCCGGGCAGGGAGGGGATTGGGGGACAGAGCTGTCCAGCACACAGCATCACCATATGCAAAATCCATGAGATAGAAGGAACTGGGCAGGTTTGAGGAACTAACTGGATGGAGATCTGTGTGGCTTAAGTACAGTGGGTGAAATGGAAAGTGGTGTGAAGATGCTGAGACGGGGGAAGTAAGCAGGACTCAGATTATGGAGGACCCTCAGATCCTTTCTAAGCGTTTTGGATTTTTTCCCCCCAAGCACATTGAGTAATTGAGTAAAGGATTTTAAAGAGTTACTCTTTACTAACATAACCAAAATTGCATTAAGAAAAAAAACAGTTTAGGGGTGCCTGGGTGGCTCAGTTGGTTAAGCGTCTGACTATTGATTTCAGCTCAGGTCTTGACCCCTTTTCTTTTATTTAAAAAGAAAAAAAATCATTTTACTTCATGGCAGGTGGATTTCAGTTAGATAGGTATAATACAAAAAAACTGCTTGCTTTAATGATGGCCCACGTGAGAGATGCTGGTGGCTCACTTACGGGAGTAGCTAGGAAAGGAGAAATAGATGGATATAAGATGCATTTAGAAGTCAGTTTCACTAGGACTTGGTGACAGAGTGAATATGGGGTAGAAGATGGGAAGGGAAATGGAGGGAACAAAGTCAGTTCCCTGGTTTCTGGTGTGACTAACAAGATATTGGGTGGGCAAGTTGCCTTTTACTAATACAAAGAAGATGGAGAGATGTGAATAATTCTTTCCGATACATTTGAAGTTACCTATGTAGGAGCCCTTCAGAAATGTCATGTAGGCCTTGAAATGTATAGGTCTGAGGCTCAGAAGAGAAACCTATGTTTGACGTACAAGTCTCATTTAAGAAATACTTTTTAGTACCTAATATTTTCCAATCAGTGTTCAGGGACTGAGAATATAGCAGGGAACAAAACAAAGTCCCTGCTCTCATGGAGGGAAAGAGGCAATAAACAACAATAACCCCCCAAAGCAAATAAATACAGTTTGTCCAGTGATGAGTGGAATAGAGAACAGGGAGGCAAGGTGAGAGGAAAGGGAAATGCCTGTAGGACATGCCTGCAGTTACCTTTCATAGAAGGTAGTCAGGGAAGACCCAGTGAGAAGTTGGCATTTGAGCGGAGGAAGTAGGTATCTGGGGGATGAGATTTTTCAGGTAGAGCCTTCCAAGAAAAAGGAACCAAAAATGCAAGGAACCTCAGACAGGAGCTTGTTCATTGTGCTCAAAGAATGGCAAGGGGCCAGGAGTCTGCAGCTAAGTGATCAAAGGGTAGAATAGGAAAGTAGCCACGGGTCAAATCAGGGCTTTGTTGGTAACTTTAAGGCTTCGACTTTTGCTCTGAGTTAGATGAGAAGAAGCCATTGAAGGGTTTTAAGTGGAGGAATGACCTGATCTAGGTTGTGTTTTTAGAGGATCGCTGTGGCTGCTGTATTGAGGACAGGGTATAGTGGGGAAAGGTTGGGAGCAGGGAGACTGATTAGGAGGTTGGTGCCATGGTTCAGATGAGATGCTGGCAGCTTAGAACAGGGTGGTATTGGCAGAGGCAGTGAGAAATATTCTGTTTGTGGATATGTCTTGAAGGTGAGTTTGTTAGAATTACTATTGGTTCAGATATAGGGTATACAGAAAGAGAAGCATCAAGGGTGACCTCCAGAGTTTTGTCTTGAGCAACTGGAAGTTACAAAGATGCCATTAATTGAGTTGGAGAAGAGTGAAGGTGAAGTGGGTGTTTTGGTCTCTTTGTTTTACAGGTTTGCTAGTCTAGGTGTTCTGTAACAGGTTTCATTTGAAACCCTGTTAGATATCCAGGTGGAAGTGTTGAGGCAGTAGCCAGTTCAGTGGAGAGTTTGGACTAAAGATATAGATTTGGGAATTGCTGGCATTAGATGGCATTTAAAGCTATTACACTGAATGAGATCACTTAGAGATCGCCAGAAGTATTGGCATTTGGGGCCAGAAAAACCTTTGTTGTGGGGAGCTGCCCTGCACATTTTAGGGTATTGAGTAGCATCCCTGGTCTCTACCCACTACAGGCCAAGAGCACCCCCTCCCCAGTGTGACAAGCAAAAATTTCTCCAGGTACTATTAAATGTTATTAAGGAGTGGGGTAGATTGTTCCCCTGTTGAGAACTTGTGTAGTGGAGGAAAGTTAAGGTCTGAGGACTAAACCCTGGAGCACTCCAATATTTAGTAAGATAAGGAGACTAGGAAGGAATAGGGGGGACATAAGAGTTGAACAAAAAGCGAGTGTTATCTCAGAAGCTAAGGGAAATATTTCAAGGAGAAGAATAGTGAAAAACTGTTAAGTACTGCATATAAGTCAGAGAAATGAAAATAGACCTCTGCGTGGTGGAGGTTTGTCAGAAACTGCTCCCACTGTGGTACAAACATCCGAAGTGGCTGGGCTCTGGAGAGAAGATGACAGGAATTGTGAGTACAGAATAGCTCTCTTAAGGAGCACCGCTGTGAGAGAAGTAGAGAACTCCAGTTCTCGAAGGAGGGCAATGCAAGTGTATGGAGGAAGTATAATAGTGTATGCATACACAGTCAAGAGCAATCACTAGAGGGGAACTGCAGAAAGTGAGATATTAGAAAAAAATATAGATGCAGGAAAGGAAGTGTGGGAGAGTAACAGTGAGCCAGGAGCTAGTCTTCAAGGAATGAAAGAGACCTGCAGATAACTGCGGTGGGCAGGGGTCGTAGGTGGTGTCTGGCTGCACATGCCTCAGAGCTGAGTAGTTCGGGCAGGGAGGGAGGAACAGTGGCGCTGGAGTGGCAGTGGGGAGCAAGCAGGACAGCTGTGCCCCACTTTGAGGCCCCAGCACAGAGAGTGTGGTAGAGAGAGCTTACCACCATTAGATAGGACTCTGGGGGGTGTCCCCAGGGCAAGATCCAGGACCCAACTTTAACCATAAAACAGGAAGGTGAAGCAGGTTTTCAGAGACGAGGTTGAGAGTCCAAAAAATTGTGCTGATGACGTGCCATGAGTTACCAGAAGCAAAGCAGCCCTAGGAAATTAGAGTTCACATGATGCGTACAGCTTCGGGGGTGGAAAAGATGCGCTTTGAGAGAATGGGTACAGTAAGCAGATAAGACACCCGAAAATCAAGGTTGGAGGAAATACAATGCAAGCGTCAGGTCCAGGAGACGGAGAGGGAATGCCTGGAGACACGGGGAAAAAGCAGGAGAGGGTAGTATCATCGAAGTCAAGAACGAAACTCTCAGAAAGACAGCATCGTCAAGTATGGGGACTGCTACTAAGAGGTCAAGTAAGAACAGGACTGAGGAATCCACTGGAATTGGTGTGGTGACCTTGGTAAGAAGAGGGCAGGTTGAAGAGTATGAGGGAGATGAGGAGATAGAGAAGACATGGCCACGGAGGGGAAAGGAGAGATGGTGATAGCCAGATAGTGGCAGGAATGGGGTGATGGAAAGGGAGAGGCCAGGGGAGAGCGCATTTGAATGTTGAGGGAAGGCTTTGGCAGAAGGAGAGGTGGACACAGAAGGGATATACTTGAGAACATCAGAGGTTGCCCTCGAATTGCTGGAAGGAGACTCGCTCTTCGGGGGAGGATGCAGGCAGACTGGTAAATGAGCTGATGAGAAGGTAGGGCCCTCCCAGCACGGTGTTTTCTATGATCCAGTGCTACCGTATGGCAGAGTTGGGCCTGAAGAGGTCTTCCCTGCATCCAAGAGGAAGTCACTGAAAGGGAAAGAGTCACATTTGTTAGGGTCACCATAGTATGATGCTGTAGTACTGATAGTAGAGGCATTCCACTGTAAGTAATGGGGGTGCATGGTGTGAATTTTCTTTATAGTGGGGTTCAGTTACTTTGAGTATCATCATCCTAAATAAATAAGCCATCAAGTTTGGAAATGCCTCCATTTTAACAGAGAATCCTATAGTAAGATTGGAATTTTATATGGTGCTGTGGTTGGCAAATGAATGTATCGTGATGGTTTAGATTCTAAAAGTTGATCTGAATTTGTTTACCCAAAACTTTGAAATTGGGAAAGTTCATCTGGAAGCCACTTCCATATATTTCAAGACAACAGTCAGTTAGGAAAGCATAAACTGTTTAAACAAATGTCTCTTTTTTAATAGGAAGACCTCTGGAGATACATTGGAGCTGGTGGAAGAGTCACTGGACGTAAATCTGTTGAATAATGCAGTTCGCCTCAAATTCCAAAATTGCAGCCTCTTACCTGGAGGGGTTCACGTCTCTGAGACTCAGAATCATGTGATAATCTTGATCTTGACCAATCAGACAGTGCACAGATTACTTTTACCACACCCTTCCCGGATGTATAGGAGCGTAAGTTGGTTAAGAGTAATATCCTTTATTTCCCAAGTTACTCTGGTTGTCACACATCTAATGCTGGAGCAATATCCTTTAGAAATTGAAGGAAAATTGGATTTCTTGGTAGCTCTTACCAAGCATACTTTTGATAGTTACAATTTAAAATGATTAGACACATTTTTAAGTTGAAATAATCTTGATGAAAAAGAACAGCTTTGTTTCCAGGCTCAATTGTTTCTTTTAAAACTTTTGTAGCCATTGAAAGGAACCGAGCAAAATTCAGTTTATTTTGATTTAACAGATTTTTCTTTTTAATTACTCCACAGGAGTTGGTAATTGAAAGTCAGATGCAGTCAATATTTACTGACGTTGGAAAAGTTGATTTCAGGGATCCTTGCAACTCTCAATTAATTCCAGCAGTACCTGGACTCTCCCCTAATTCTACCTCCTCGGCAGCTTGGCTTGGCAGTGATGGGGAGGCTCTGTTTGCTCTTCCGTCTGCTTCTGGGGGAATCTTTGTTCTTAAACTACCGTCTTATGACATACCTGGTAAGAGTGGGAGCTGAACTTGGATTTAACTTTAAGCAAGGAATGTTGGCAGTAAAACAGACCTTAGAAGACCATACCCATCATCCAAGGCAGGAATTGCTCCTCTACTCCCCCTGAAATTGATCATTCAGTGTTGCTTGCCAAAGGAGTCTCTAGTGCTTTTACTGTTTTTTGTTTTGTTTTGTTTTGTTTGTTTTCTGAGAAGGTAAGATTTTATACAGCGGATGAGGAATTGTAAAGCTTTTCGGAATGTGGGAAGACATAACTGAGACAGCCTAGTCTAAGGCCTGTAGTAGAGATGAGTTGACTAGTTATCTACCTTCAGGTTGAGGTGCTATAACTAAAATAAGTTAATTGACACAAGGAAGTTCGGCTGCTGATAACCTGCTCCAAGTCACCACTGTCTCCTGCCTGGATTATTGCATTATCTTCCTAAATATCCCTCAGATCTGTTCTTACCCCTCTACAGAAACTTCTGAGATACACTTAAATCTAAGTAGAGTCATGTCACTCCATTGCTCAAAGCCCTCAAGTGAGGGTTTGTTCTTCATATCATTCTGAATAAACCCAGAGTCCTTACATTGGCTTTCAGGGACCTCTTTTTTCCCCTTCGCCTTCTCTACACCAGCCTCATGCTTCTCACAATTGCAATTCCTTGAACATACCGGGCATACTCTTACATCAGGGTTTTTGCCTGAGATAGTCTTTCTCCAGCTGCCAGCTTGGCTCATTCCCTTAACTCCTCAAGGTCTTCACTCAATGTTCCCTCAGTGTGTGAGGCCTTTCCTGACCACCCTTTTCCAAATTGCACATACACACACAGCATTCACTGTATGCTTTCTGTTTTCACTTATTACCATTCTGCTTAGTTTGTGAGCTGTCTCGGCTTCTGCCCTTCTCCCAGTGGAATGTAAGTTTTATGAGGACAGGTGTTTTTTTTTTAATGTTTTGTTTACTGCCACATCTTCAGCACCTAGAACTGTGCCTGACACATGAACCCAATGATTCTTTTGGGAAGAATGACTGTTCTGAGCAGCAGTCAGGTTACTATTTGTAACTGTTCGGCAAAAATTTTCCCTAGCAATATGTTAGTGCTATTTTTATTAATGCAATAATGATTCAAGATATTTTAAGTGTGATGTATGTGGAAAGGTACATCCTAAAGCCCTCTTATTCAGTATGGAAATGGAGAAGCCTGTCACCTGTTATAAGGACCTTGTTCATGATTGGATGGATCCTTGTTTTTGAGTTTCTCTGAGTCTGATCAAGAGGTGCCTTGGATGTCACTGGTCTGTTTTCAATCTCGTAGGGATGGTGTCAGTTGTGGAACTAAAACAGAGTTCAGTAATGCAGAGACTGCTTATAGGCTGGATGCCAACAGCTATCAGGTAAGTGGTGTCTGGTGGGCAAACCAAAGGGCCCAAGAATTTCATTTTTGCACTGGTCAGGAACTATTAGTGATTCTAGTCTTATTCTAAGGCAGATAAGCATTATACTGGAAAGGAGAAGAGTCTGCAAAATATCACAGTCCATCTGAGGAGAGCCACACCTCAGACATCTTGATAGCAGAAACTGATTTTTTCTATATTTTCTCATGATATTCAACTCAGTGCTCTGCCCTGACTCACTAATTTTGTGTAAAATTAGAAGTAGGAAGTTTCTGATGATTAAAACTCTATTCCTTTCTTATGTAGAGCCCTTTAAAGTATATCATAGTGATTGGTTATAGACCAAGTAGAAAATATAGTTCTCTGATACCAGCATGTAAACTCTTGGTTCCTTGTGTTGACTAAGAGTGTACATTTATAGGGGCACCTGGCTGGCTTAATCGGTAGATCATGCAGTTCTTGATCTTGGGGTTGCGAGTTCATGCCCCATGTTGGATGTAGGAAATACTTAAAATCTTAAACAAAATGGTACATTTATAACTTTCTTTTATCTGTTTAATTACAAGTTCTAATCTTGGGGTGCCTGGGTGGCTCAGTCGGTTAAGCATCCGACTTCGGCTCAGGTCATGATCTCGCGGTTTGTGTGTTCGAGCTCTGCGTCGGGCTCTGTGCTGACAGCTCAAAGCCTGCAGCCTGCTTTGGATTCTGTGTCTCTCCATCTCTCGGCCCCTCCTCTGCTCATGCTCATAATAAATAAATGTCAAAAAAGTTTTTAAAAACAAGTTCTAATAACCTGATAGTTAGAACACTACGAGCCTAAAATTGGGCTTTATGTTTTTAGAGGTGACCAGGGGCCTTCAGATCGTCCCCTTGCTCTTGCTGTTCATTGTGTCGAGCACGATGCCTTCATCTTTGCTCTTTGCCAGGATCATAAACTACGAATGTGGTCTTATAAGGTAAATGCTACATTTATAGTTACTTAAGTTAAAATAGCATTGCGAATTGTAAGACAATTGAAGTCAATCTTGCTGTTTCTGTCAAAGATTATTAAGATCACTGAAGTTTGGAAATTGCAGGCCATTTCTACATTCAGACAGTTTCATTTAGCTTTTTCATACATTTCTCCCCTTTTTATATATTTTTAAATTATGAATCCTACAGAATTAAGATAGTACAGAGAATAATGTTCACTTAAGAGGAATGAATGTGTTTTGTAAATGCAAGTTGATAAAACAGTTTTCAGGATTCATAAGCAAAACAGTTAGATGATCTTATTTATCAGACTTAAGAGACATTTTCATCTCAGACTTTAAAAAAAAATCTTTAGTGTCCCTTAGCAGATAAAAGAGGAGTGCTAGCTGTGATGAGTGCACATCCTTTCAAAGGGGAAGAAGTTTGTTTTTCCTGACTTGGATATTCTTGGATACTACTTGTTGGCTTATCTTGAGCAGGACCAAATGTGCCTGATGGTGGCCGACATGCTGGAGTATGTTCCTGTGAGTAAAGACTTTCAGCTCAGTATTGGAACTGGACATAAGTTACGGCTTGCTTATTCCCCTTCCATGGGACTCTACCTAGGGCTGTTCATGCATTCACCAAAACGCGGACAGGTATGAAACAAATAAGACCTGTATCAAGCTACACTGTATGTACTGATGTGGGCAAGTAGCGGGAGATACATTTGAGTCTATTTAAGCTCTTCCCACCAACCTAGGTGTTTCATGTGTTGTTTCTGTGGAGATGATGGGTTTTGTGCTAATGTGTGAATCAAAAAAATCGTGAAGTCGTGGTGAAAGGGAGTAGAGAGTTCAAAGGAACATGAAAGGAAAAGTTAACCAAAGCTAAATAAGAAAGAGCCAGTTTTGGGGCGCCTGGGTGGCACAGTCGGTTAAGCGTCCAACTTCAGCCAGGTCACAATCTCGCGGTCCGGGAGTTCGAGCCCCGCGTCAGGCTCTGGGCTGATGGCTCAGAGCCTAGAGCCTGTTTCCAATTCTGTGTCTCCCTCTCTCTCTGCCCCTCCCCCGTTCATGCTCTGTCTCTCTCTGTCCCAAAAATAAATAAACGTTGAAAAAAAAAAATTAAAAAAAAAAAAAAAAAGAAAGAGCCAGTTTGGACATCTGGGTGAAAAAATGAAGTTATGAAAGGGATGCACGTGTTACAAAGTGGTTGGAGGGAAGTTAATTTTTAGAAATAATTTTGCTCGTCTTCCAAACACTAGCTGTTGTATGTAGATGAGGTATTTAGGATGTCATATAATGGTAATCCTGTAATAAACAACCATTCGTTGGATATTCTGGGTTTGCCATCATGCCGGGCCCCTTATGTACATTAATAGCAAATACTTGGACAGTGCTTACTCTGGGCTCACACGCTTTATGCATGTTATCCATTTAATCCGGATAACGTTTCACTGAGGTAGGGTCTGTCCTCACTGTGCTGGAGGTGCCCATCCGGGTGCCTCTTCACCCTTGTTGGGCTCTGATGCCCAACTACAGGTTGCCCCTCCATATGGATGCCTTGTTCATGCCTTTTGAGCTGATACTCTGCCACTCCTATTCAGTGGTCACCCTCCTTCCCTGCTTGGGCTTTAATCACCAATACAGACTGCTACTCTATGTGAACACCCTCCTTGTTCTGCTTGAGCTTCCACCCTATACCAGGCCTTCCATATGTGTGGAAGCCTTCACACTCTGCTCATGCACCTACACTCTAAGCCAAATGTGGATACTCTTTTTACCTCCTTGGGCTCTTGATTCATCCATCCTATGACCCTGACCTCGGTCTCAGTTTCCTCCAGTAGTCCACAGAACTCCAGGAAACAGTAACTTACATTTGCCAGTTTACTATATGACAAAGGATACAGATGAACAACTAGATGAAGAGGTATGTTGGGTGAGGTCCAGAAGGATCCTGAGTTCAGAGGCCTCTGCCCTGTGGTGTAGGAGTTTGCCACCCTCCTGGCACATGGATGTGTTCACCAATCTGGAAGCTCTCCTTATACCATACTTTAGGGATTTTTATTTTAGGGATTTTTATGGAGGCATCATGATGTAGGCATAATCCATTATTACTAGATTTCCAGCCTCTCCCCACCCCAGAGAATGGGGGTTGGGGCTGAAAGTTTAAGCTTCTAATCATGGCTTGGTCTTTCTGGTGACCAGCCCTAATCCTTGAAGCTATCTAGGAGTCATCTCATTAGAACAAAAGGTGTTTCTGGGGCGCCTGGCTGGCTCAGTAAGTGGAGCACGAGTAAGTAGAGACTCTTGATCTCAGGGTGAGTTCGATCCCCATGCTGGTTGTAGAGCCTACTTGAAAAAATAAAAGGCATTTATCACCCAGGAAATTCCAAGGGATTCTAGAGCTCTGTATAAGATGCTCCTATCATCTTCATCATTCAGGAAATTACAAGGGTTTTAGCTTAGTGCCAGCACCCAGTGGCAGAGACCAAAATATGTTCATTATTATTATTTGATAGATTCTGATAGAGATTATGTTGGTTCTGTAGATGATGCTGGAAAATATTGCCATCTTTGCAATATTAAGTCTTTTGGTCCATAAACATGGAATGTTTTCCCATATATTTACATCTTTAATTTCTTTTTACAATGTTTTGTAGTTTTCAGAGTAGAAGTTTTGCAGTTCTTTTGACCAGTTTATTCCTGGGTATTTATTCGTTTTAATGCTAGTGGAAATGAAATTATTGAAATGAAATTATTTTCTTAATTTTATTTTGAGATTACTCAGTGAATGTTTATAGAAATACAGTTGATTTTTGTATCATTGGTCTTGTATCATGCAACCCTGCTGAATTATTTTATTAGTCCTAATAGGGTTATAGTGGAGTCCTTAGAACTTCCTGTATACAAGATAACCTCATCTGCAAATAAAGATAGTTTTATTACTTCCTTTCCAATTGAATCAACTGAATGCCTTTTTTTTTTTTTTTAATTGCCCTGGATAGATCTTCCAGTACAATATTGAATAGAAGTGGGAAGAGCTGGCATCTTTGTCTTGTTCCTGGTTGAAGGGAGAAAGCTTTCAGTGTTTCACCACTGAGTATGACATTAGCTGTGAATTTTTCATAAATGCCTTTTATCATGTTGAGGAAGTTCCTTTCTATTCCTAGTACTGAGTGTTTTTCTCATGCAAGGGTGTTCAGTTTGCTGCCATTGCCTTGATTAATTATAAGGCACCAGTAATTTTACCCTCTTATTTAGGCTTGTGCATCATCAATGCAAAAATATCAACACAGATATTGCAGATAATGTATTCTTATGAAAAGAGTTTCGGCCTCACTGATCCCCTGAAACAGTCTATGGTCTACATTTTGAGAAGCACTCCTCTAAAAGACTCAAAATTGAGTGTAGGAGTGGTGTGAAATTGAGCAGAGCTGTTATCTCCTTTGTTTTGAGCATTATGGTTCTATTAATGAAGCCTAAAATCAGATAAACCTTTTTGCCAGTTAGACCTACTCATGTTGTGGTCAACTTGTAGACTTTTTTTCCCCCTACACAAATCCTGCTCTTCAGCCTGTATTTTCCTCTAATAGGCACAGTTGAAATTTATTTTTCCTTTGTCTCTAATATTTATATCCATTCCTATTCATTTGTTTCTGGTGTTTCCTTTGGTTCTTTGGATTCTAATTCTTTAGTAAGTGTATTACTTCGGTTATTTCCAGGATCTTGTTCTCATTGATCATACAAGCTGCCATCTGTATTCCATCTAAGACCTTAATACAATACAACTCTCAAACAGAAGTCCTGTAGACTGTGGTGTGTGGTCCACAGACTGGTCCTGGGCCACAAATTCTTGTTTACCAGTTTGCAGTAAGATAGCTACAGAACATGAGAGTGAACTTTCAGATACTTTTATAGTGGTTTGACATTGCTACAGACGTCCACATTCAAGATTCCTGTATGTTATAAATAAAGTATCAATCTGCAACAGGTTGGAAATTAAATAAAACAAAAAACTAGCCCTTTACCACAGGTAATTTGAGAAGCACTATATGCTTGGCCAGCATTTTTCCAACAAGAAATACCTTGTTTTGCTATCTACTATACACATATTGTGGTGATGGACATGTAACAAAAAAAAAAATATATGAAACATGTTTACCTTTACTATGAGTGATGAACTGATGAACTTTGATACTTTGTTGTTGTTCTTGTTGTTTGAATGCTGGTTGAGACCTGCTAAATTGATTTATATTCCACTAACAGGTTGAGATCTGCAACTTGTAAAATACAGCTCTAGACTAGGATGAATATGAACACTGCATATATCTTTTGTATTTCATACACTCCTACTTTTTCTCAGAAGGGACTCTCTGTATATTTTTCTTTTTTTTTTTTTTAATTTTTTTTATTAACGTTTATTTATTTTTGAGACAGAGAGACAGAGCATGAACGGGGGAGGGTCAGAGAGAAAGGGAGACACAGAATCTGAAACAGGCTCCAGGCTCTGAGCTGTCAGCACGGAGCCCGATGCAGGACTCAAACTCACAGACTGAGATCATGACCTGAGCTGAAGTCGGACGCTCAACCGACTGAGCCCTCCAGGCGCCCCTGTATATTTTTCTTTTAGTACTACCCTTTAGTAACTTCTGTGTTATAAAGAGAGAACCATTGTCACTCTTACCAGTTTACAGTGAATTTTCTTTTTCCAAAAAAATTACTTAAAATATCCATAAAGTATCATTTTTGAGTTTGAAATTTTTTGTTTTGGCAATAGAGTTAAATACTACACTTGAATTATTTTATAGAGTTTTGTTTTTAGTAAAAGTTAACTAGTGTTGATTTGTATTGTGCATATGTTTTAAATTATCTCTGGCACTTTGGTAAAAATATAAACTTAAAACAGGCTTCTGACCACAATGAGATACCACCTCACACCCGTGGGATGGCTATTATCCTCCCCAAAAAAACAGAAAATAGCAGTGTTGACAAGGATATGGAGAAATTGGAACCCTTGTGCACTGGTGATGGAAAGTAAAATGTTGCAGCCACTGTGGGAAACAGTATGGCAGTTCCTTAAAAAGCTAATTGTAGCATTACCCTATCTATGATCCAGCCATTCCACTTCTGGGTATATACCCCAAAGGATTCAAAGCAAGGTCTCAAAGACATTTGGGGACACCTGGGTGGCTTAGTCGTTTAAGCGCCGACTCTTGATTTCAGCATAGGTCATGATCTCATGGTTGGTCATGAGATTGAGCCCCACATTGTGCTCCACACTTATAATTCTCTCTCTCTCCCTCTGTTCCTCCCCTGCTTGTGCTCACATGTGCATGTGCTTTCTTATTTAAAAGATAGTGTTTTCTTGTAGACAGTCCAAAAAAAAAAAAATTTGTATGCCCATAGTCATCATACTATCTACAGTAGCCAAAAGGTAGAAGCAGCCCAAGTGTTCCTTGACAGATGAATGAATAAACAAAAATGGCATATACATAAAATGGGATATTATTCAGCCTCAAGGAAGGAAATTCTGACACATGCTACAACATGGATAAACCTTGAGGATGTTATGCCAGGTGAAGTCACAAAAAGAAAATACTGTTAATATTCTACTTATATAAAGTGCCTAGAGCAGTCAAGTTCATAGAGACAGAAAGTGGAATGGTGGGTGGAAGGGTCTGGAGGG